AACGTATTGAACAAGTTGTAACAGAGGTACCTTAGACAACTTTTAAGAATCAAATGGTTCCACCATGTATCAAACGTATCGGACTTTGAAAAAGCTAGCTGCGAGAGCGTTGAAGTCATGATTACTAAATCCCGTTTAAGATGGGCTGGTCATGTATGCAGGATGCAAGAAAACCGCCTACCAAAATCTCTTGTGAGCTTGTGGACGGTAAGAGAAGAAAGAAAACGCCTTGCGTAACCATCTTCTGATGCATGTATTTTAAAATCCAATGAAGTCAAGTTATTTAGCATTGATAGAACCAAAATGTCTTAAATACTAGTCTTTACTAGTCATAATAAAAATAATAAAACAAACTGAGTTCTTTTTTAAATAAATCCAACTCATTTACATTTACTCATTTTTTGTATGACATTTTTTATTATTTGTATATTTGTTTTTGTGCTTTTTTGTTTTGTAAATGCTTTGTCGATGAAGCTATTTTGGGTTTTTGTACAATAAAGCGTTGTTTATTATTATTTATATACTCAAAAGACAAATTTGAAAAAATCTCACATGAAATTAGGGGAGGGGGCTCGAGACAAACCTTAGAACATCTCACCAAGAGCGAAGCAAAATGTAAAAAATCTAATAATTTTTACCAAATAAAAAAACAAAAAAATAGGAAAAAAATGCTCGCAGATTTAATAATTAATTGCTAGGTTTAAAGAAACCTACAAAAGCTCTCTTCGACTCTAAATTCTCGGAATATTCCAAATAAATGGAATTTTCATCTGGTATTAGGTCTTGTTAGGATCTAGACCTGTGTACTATGTATTTCCAATTTCCCGAAAAAGTAAAACAAACAAACTAAAAATAAGATTCCGTACTGCGGCTAAGTTTAGTCACGAAAATTAAATCACTTCTCAAGTTTGGCATACTTTCGCAGAAGCCAGCTTCAAGTGCTCATTACTAGATCAAGAAATATAACATTAACTTCGTAACTTATATATTTATTTCTAACAAATAACAATAGCTCAAATAAAGTTTTTAGAATAGCATACTATTGAAAAAAAACGGGGTCGCGGTCCTCCGAAATAAAAATCGAAGTGGCGTATGATAAATATCAAAAAATAAAGAATAGAAAACTAATTATAGAAAAATAAATAAATTATAGGGAAATTGGAACAACTTTCGTTGCACGTCATCAATGACACCATGCGTCGTCTTAGGGAGTTTGCTGGTGGTCGTATTATGATGTGCAAGGAAAGTTATTATAGGTATGTATTTCTCAAAAAAATTCAAGCAAAGGCTTAAGAGATTTAATTTTATAAGAGACAACGGCCTGTTGTTCGTCTTTAAGTTAGCGATTGGCCACCTAATAACACACTTTGACGTTTAAGCAACATATTTTTCTTTCACGAACAATTTTTCTTTCATCAGCTTCAAAAATCCTGGATATTTCTTTTCTCAAGACAGTTAGTTCGAGATAAATTTTTTATATCAAAACACAACACAAGAATTTAAACGTCAAAAGAAGAAATGTCTGATCCAGATACAACTATTATAGAGAGACGCTGTTTTATATTTATACAATGTGAGTCTTAAATAAATGCACATACAGGGTCCGGCAAAAGTGTGTCAAGCATCTGTAGCTCCTAGAATAAAAAACTTGGGAATTTTGTTTAAGTGCACACCTAAAGTATGTACGGGTATGTATTTCAGGAAAATATTTTAACTTCCATAGAGTGGCTCAAAAAAGTGTTAGTGGTAGGATGATTTTTTTTAAATGAGACACCCTGTATATTATTGCATTTTTGGCTTCCTTTCAGATCACTTTACATAATCCTAAGATATGAGTAATTATATTTCGATGGTTTCACAGATATTAATAAATAAATAAAAAATATAAATTTTCTGCCTTTATTAAAAACAAATATTACAAATACAAGAAATGTCCTGAAATCAAAAATATATTAGGTATTTACTTTAGATGGTCTGCACTTACTTTGCTATAAATATGCTAATCGTAAATTATACAGGGCGTTCAAAATTGTACGCCAAACTTTTTAAAATATAAAATAATTTTTCTTCGTTTTTTTTTAATGGAACACCCTGTATATTATTTTCTTATTAGATGGAGAATTAAAAAATGAACATTTTTTCAACATTTTCAATGGTTTCGCAGATACAAGCAGTATTATTTCATATGGCTCTTTCAATGGTAAAATACGAGAGAAAAATCATTTTTTTGGCTTTGATATAAATTTATGTGTCTGTGAAAAATGCCATATGAAATATAAAACCGCGAATATCTGCGAAGCCGTTAGAAATTTTGAAATATTCTAAATACAAAAAATGTTCATTTTTTAATTCTCCATCTATTGACAAAATAATATACAGGGTGTTCAATTTAAAAAAAGAAGAAAAATTATTTTATATTTTAGAAAGTTTGGCGTAGAATTTTGAACATCCTGTATGATTTACGATTACCATATTTAGAGAAAAGTAAGCACAGACCATCTAAAGTAAATACCTAATATCGTTTTGATTTCAGGACAGTTCTTAGTATTTATAATATTTTTTTTAAATAGACTGAAAGATATATATTTTTTATTTATAAATATCTCTGAAACCATAGAAATATAATTACTCATATCTTAGGATTACGTAAAGTGATCAGAAAGGAAGTCAGAAATGCAATAATATACAGGGTGTTCCATTTAAAAAAATCATTCTGATCCACTCACACTTTTTTGAGCCACTCTATAGGAGTTAAAATATTTTTCAAAAATACATCCTAGTACATACTTGAGGTCTGCATTTAAACAAAATTCACATTTTTTTATTCTAGGAGCTACAGATGCCCGACGCACTATTGCAGGTTGGTAGATCTCGATAAAAGAAACATATTTTCTCTATAGTGTGATCTTCACCCTGCATATATTATTAATAATTAAAAATGGATGTTTATAAGTATTTTTATGCCAATTTTTATACTACTGAATATTATGTATGTTATATTTATCTACCATAAGCAAACTTATTCTTATTAATTATTGTTAAAAGTAATTTTGAAGTAATACGAAGATATTCTAAAATACTGCAACGTTTCTTCAAGTCAAATTGTAACATTAAGTGGTTCGTGCAACATGCAAACTAAATCTAAATAATAATAATAAATTAGAAACATTTTAGCTGCTCATACATATTCAGACTAATATTATTATTTAAAAAAAAAGTGTGTATTAAAAATCTTTAAATAAATTTTCTGTTTTTGAATTCCAAATTGATTTCATTGTAAATATTATATATTTTCGGCCTTTTCCTGTTTTTATTTTCGTAAAATTTCGTAAGTTTTGGCACCAAATCTACGTGGAGGTGTAAATGAGTGAACTGTTTTTTCAATTTACCCAACTTTTTATTTTTGAAAAACTAGAGATACAATAACCTTAAACGGTTACATATGCAGAAAGAAAAATAGATTTCTATACAGAGTAAAAGAAAAATAAGCTATATTTAAACTTGATTGGATTATATAAACTGTTGATTCAGAGGTAAAATATTTGACACTTCACGTGTGACGTCACCGAAACCCTAACGTCAACCATCTTTGGAATCGGTGTGCGGTTGATTTCTAAAAATATTATTTTTGGAAAAATATACGAAAACTTTCTCAAACTATTTTTTATAATACTCATACATTGTATAATGATCTTTTTACCACTAATTTAGTGTAAAAGGTGTATTGGTCAAAAAAAAAGTAAAAAATAAAGAATTAAAAAATTAGTAATAATCTTTAATTAAATAAATCTATATTGTTATTAAATTTTTGTTTACTGTATGGTTTGCTTTGAAAAATACAAACATCTATAAACATTAAATTATTGTACTCAATCAATTATTACACTTATTTCCAAAAAAAATTATAAATTTATTAATTTTATAACCACAAGATCGTACCGTCCTCGTCATATTTTTCTACAATAAAAAATTTTGGCAAATTAGATCCTATTGTATTATTAAAAATTCAACATTCTCTCATACTATATTCAGACTTTATACTGAATACTGAAATAAAACTTTAATATAGTAATAAAATAATAAATTGGAACGACATAATTTTAAACAATAATTTGGATTTCAACTTGTTATACCTCAGAAAGTTATCAATAGAAGCAACAGGTCGTAAGTTAACTGTTTATCTATAAAAATTATTTTTTTTTAAAACGGCACAAAAGTATTAATTTTTGCGACGTGTTTGACAATATAAAAAAGTCATTTTAACGCCTAGGCATAAAGTAAAGTACTTTTACGCCTAAGCATAAAATTTCTAGTACGAAAATATATTATTAAACTGACATAAAGTGCCAAATTCAACGAGCGTAACCATAGCAGAGACCATAGTTTCTCGATATATTATAATGACTTACAAAGAGTGATTTTTTAATATTTTTATATTATTTGGAACTTTTGAAATTGTTCAAAAAATTATTTGTGACGTTCGAAAAAAAATAGCATGTTCTATTCGGAGTAAAAATGACTTTTTGTCACCTCACCACGAAAAGTGTCATTTTTACTCCTAATAGAACAATATACTACTAATAATACTTATTTTATATAAAGATAGAAACTTTGAAGATATGTTATCTTAAAAAATTCAAAAGTTGCAAATTAAAATATTAAAAACCCTTTTAATACATGCATTCAAAGATAACTGACTTATTGTTGTTTTTTCTTATTTTCTAATTAACTATTAAGCATTAAAAACACACACACGTCCTTTTAACACCTTATTAATCGAACTTTCAGCTCGTAACCGACTTAGTCTATTAATATCTCGTCGTCTTTTTGAGGTTAGACCGATCCTTTACCTGACCACCCGCAAAAATCACCCTAACACCACAAGAAATGTAAGTTTAATAATCGCGCACTGCACTGATCAATGAAACCGAAGCTGGAGAATGGGAAAATCGAAGAAAAATCGATCGAGAATCGCGAAAAATCACAGCGTGTTCACCTACCTTTATCCCTGACGACGCTCGAAGACGTGTACGCTGTCCTAAAAGCTACAAAGGCGTCGCGGCGCTGTGCGCCGCCTGGATCGTCCAAGTGGTGGGGTGTGACTTACCCCTCCCGACGCGAATCCCCTCCAGCTTAAGTCGGGTCGGGGGTTTTCGGTGGCTATCAAAATGTTGGAGAATATGTAATAAAAGGAAAAGCTGGTTTCTAATTTCTTTCTTTTAGTATAAATGATATACACAATCAAAAATGCATATATTATTAGGCCCTGTTTTGTTTAGTTTACTAGGCCCTATTTTGTTTCTTCTTTTTATTAACGACATTGCTAACATAAACATCAGTGGTAAAATATGTCTTTTTGCGGACGACACTAGCTTCACTTGGAGCAACAAGGACGTCACGGCACTTCATAGGATTATATCAAATGAATAATCACCATCAAATCTTGGTGCGATTTAAACCTCCTGAGTCGCAAAATTTCTAAAACGCAAGCCTTGTCGTATAAAAACTCGCTGCAGCCTTTTGTACTTAACAACACCACCATTGACGTCGTAAAATCTGTAAAATTCATATGGGGGACATGCATATCGACGCTTTGTCGAAAAAATTAAGCTCTGCCTGTTTTGCATTAAGATCTGTTTCTAAGGAGCTTAACTTGTCAGTGGCTAGAACTGCTTATTATGCACTTTTTGAGTCGCACCTCAGATATGCCTTTCCATTCTGGGGTACGTGTTGTGCGACTCAATTTGACTGGGACTAGACAGCAGAACTCATTGCCAGGACTTTTTTAAAAAATTAAAAATATTAACTCTTCCTTCCTTATTTATATTTGAATCCGTTTGCCTAATACGTAAGCATGTATCAGTTTCTCAAGAAACGAACGCGGGGCAAGATCTTTATCTACCTACCCCACGCTCAGAGTTAGTTAAAAGTTCAATATTACACAATATTACAACTCAAAAAAATGCACAATCACCTGCCATTTGAAACTCTCTCTATGTCTTTATTCCTACAAAAGGAAAGTAGTGGTCAAGTGATGTGTGTGATTTGTCTCCATAATTCCCTGTCTTGTGCTTCATGTACCAGTGCGTGTGCAGTGGCTTGTGGATGAGCTTTGATACCTGGTCTATCCATCGGGTTGGCGAGCAGCCTCTTGGTCTTTTTTCTGGAATCTTGCTTTGTATAATGAATCTTTCCATACAATCAGCATCCCTCCTCATAATGTGACCGAAATATTTAAGCTTACGTGACGGTATAGGAGTTGAGAGACGTTCTGTGATGTCCAGTTCTTGGATTATAGATTCATTGGTTCGTGGGGCAGTCCAGGGAATTCTGAGCATTCGTCGCCAGCAGTACATCTGAGTTGCGTCAATTTTTTTTTATTTCTAACTGTCTCGTTGTCCAAAACTCGGAGTCATACATTAGTATAGGATTTTTTTTCGAACTGCCGCCCTAGTAATTTCACATCTTCTTATTTCCCCTTCTAACGATCCTGTGTTGTATAAAAGTGACCCAAGATATTGACTGACAACTTCAAAACGACCAATAATTCTCGTTACATGGCTTGTTGTTGTTTTGCCTGTCGATAATCATAATTTTTGTTTTGGAGGGATTAATTTCAAGTCCAAGTTTCTCGCTTTCGTCTTCAACCAATTTTAGAAGCTGCAGTAGTTCTTCTTCGTTTCCCGCTAGAAGTACCCTATCGTCTGCGAATCTGAGGTTGGTAATTTTGTGATTATTAACCCAATCAATAAAAATCCTTGATTTTTCTCGATCGTAAATCCTGAGAAATTTCATAGAGTGTGTTAGACCGTTGGAGGATTTCCATTCTAGGTTACTAATGGAGTCTTCCAGGTTCTTCTGTCCGCTAGTAGTTTCCACATGGAAAGCAGAGCGGTTCTGGTCGAGTTAGTGGAGCGTTTGCTCCTTTTCTAGCTAAATAATTTCCTTTCTCTTATCTTCTATCCCCTGATGAGCTGGTACCCAAAGTAAGAGGAGTTCTTTGCCTAATTTGTTTAGCTTCTCTAGACATTCTTTGGCCACCTTCGAATTGATTGATACTGAGTTGATCTCTTTTAACGCTGCATGACTATCAGATAAGATAGCTATTTCTTGTTCTCGAATAATCGTTCTAAGATAAGTTGTACGCATCTTTCGTTAGCGTAGATTTCTGCTGTAGGATGCTAAAGTAGGTGCCCATTGGTTCGGAGTATTTAGTTCTCGGCCCAAATACTCCGATCCTTGTTCCTGCATTGGTTTTGGAAACATCAGTCTACCAAGTTATAGTATGATCTTCTTACTGCTAAGCAAGCTTTTCTTTTTTCCAATTCTTTTTAATACTACATTGAGGTGTTTCTCAAAGTTGCACATTATTAGTATGTCAGCAACTAGGAGTTGGAGAAGTGATATTTTCTTTTTGAGGGTGTTCCAAACCCCTGAGCGAACGATTTCCCAGTACTGATTCAGTCAGTGACCATTCTAATCATTGTCGCATTGGCATATTTACCGATGACAATGTACAGTAGTATAAGTCGAGAATGACCTCCATTGCTATTGCTGGGTAGGTTCTCATAGTTCCTGTGATGCAGATGTATGCCAGCCTCTGGACTTTGTACAGATTTAGCCTCACCGTACGTTTCTCTAGTTTTGTGTACCAAACAACTGCTCTATAAGTAATCATGGGTCTTACTATAATGGTATAAATCCAGAATGTTAGGAGCGCCGGCGCCGCCCCATCTATTTCCCGCAAGTCTTCTTCATATCATGAGAGCTTTTGTGGCTTTGCTGATAATGTTCTTAATATTATTCCCAGATATTTGACTTCCTGCGATGGAAGTATTTCTTTTCCATCTGGTTGGATTCTTTTTAAGTTTTTCAGACTTCGCTTTCTGACCAATAATATAAATATATAAATTTAACCTTAACATTGAAGTGTATTACTTAATTTAAAATATTCAATAAACCGTATATACTGCATTGGTACCATTGCGATAAAAAAAAGTAGTACAAGAATTAGTAGTCCCAGATAGAACTCCTGGTCTATAAGGATATCGAGAAGTGGATATCGTCGTCACTATGAAAACAATACAATTATACCACCTAACTTTTTAGGCGTTACCATTAATTTGGTAATAATTGGTAGGTATACGTGGCGAAATAAAAGTATAAAAAATTTACCTACCTATTAAAAATGGGCAATTTTTCAAGTTTTAAAAATATTTTATTATAAACCAGCAGATTAAATCATATTTTGTTGTACTACTTTTTTTTATCGCAATGGTGCGCAATGCGCGCTGACATGCAATTTTTAGTTGGCCGACTGTTTAGTTGCAGATTTGAAACCAATATTTCTATTTTTTTGGAGCCTTATTTATAATATATTATCTAAATAGTCGGCCAATCGGTTCCATATAAGTGTATTATTTTCACTTTTGCAACCAAATAATCGGCCAACTAAAGCGCGCGCTTTTTCTCTTATTTTGAAAACGACTAAAATAAACAAATAGAACTAAACCAATAGTTCGTTATGACATTATTATGTATTTAGATAATACGGTTAAGAAAAAATCCAGTACGGATTGAAGAAAACTCGAGAATCAATGACAGCACCATGTACGGAATATTAAACAGACAGAAGATGATTTAAAATTCACTAATTCGTTGTTTTGTGTGCTTTTTTATTGTTTCGTCTTAACTGCCATTTTCTAAATATACCGTTTGCATGTTCAATACGTCGTGAGTTGAATGTAGACAATGAATAAATTAGTTCTGTAAGTACTGCTTTACTTAATTATTAAATACCCAATAATAAATTAAAAAATCATTGGATAAAAACAATAAAAACACGTATTTCATCAAAATTGAACAAATTAGGCAAAGCAAATAAAGTCCTCCTACTCTAGGTGCCAGCTCACCAAGGCAATGACAAAGCAAACGATCTTGCTAGAAAAGCAGAACCGTTCTGTTTGGTTGCAAGTGGAAACCAACTTAAAGCGGAACTCAAGAACGTGGAAGACTCAATCCGTAAATTTCTCAGAACTTAGATTTTCCTTGATTTAGAAGAAGAAGAAGAAGAAATTTAGCTTTCAAGCCGCATCAGCATCAAAGGCTATTTAGCGGCGTATCATCTGCTACTTTAGTTCGGTACAATATTTGACAAAAAGTAAAAACTAAACAACACGTTTATAGACAGATTGTATATGTTAACAGTACAGACATTGATTTTGTAAAAATAAAAAGTAAATGGTACAGACATCATAGAATAAAACAATAAAACGTAAAAATATGTACAATTGAATTAGTAATTGGTTGCTTTAAACCAAAATGTAGCTTTTCAGATACCTATATTTTAGATATATATCCCGATCTTTCCAGAAAATCAAAAAGTTTTGGTTGCTCACTCGTAGAAAAAATAACTGACATGTCTCACGAAAGATTGCAGGCCTCTCTTAGGTTAATTAACTGACTACATTCCTTAAGGATATGTTTGACAGTTAAAGGATTAGTACATTTATCACATAGAGGCGGTGGTTGGCCCTTAAGCAAAAATTGATGAGAAAACCTACAATGTCCTAACATGAGTCTGTCTACTACGGCTTTGCGACGATCATAACTCGATGTGGAGAAACCACAGAAGAATGTCTTTTTGACATTCCAAAAGTTTGTTAGGTTCCTCCAGAAGATCCCACTCCAGTTGAACCAAGGATTTGCACAGTCGGGCGATTTTTGTAACGAGACAACCCCTGGAATAAATTGATATTTCCTTGATTTAAGTGAGAATAATCTTCGGCTTGTCACGGGTTTTTGAACAGGACACTGTCTCCTCAACGAACATCTCAATAGATTAAAGCTAAGAAACAATTGCAAACGCAGATTTTGTGAGGAAACTGGGAAAACACCAGAACAGCTCATCACAGTGCATAGAAACGACAATCATTCGTGCCATAAAGTTGGATACAACTGTTATCGGAGATCGAGAACTAGCCTCTGTGAAACCATCTCAGATACTGGCTTTTGATACTGGCTCTGAGACTGTATGATAAGTTAGTTATAACTCGTTATAACTCAAGAAAAGGGGTCACACAATAGATCTGTAAGGTCGCGGTGATTAACCCAC